GCTGGTGATTTTATACAGGGACACATTTTAGCTGACAATTTTCAAATTTTCGGAGGAAACACACAGAAAAAAATGATTTATAGAACTTTTGATTCGATTTCGGAGCTATTTTACGAAAAAAGTTAATTCTGACGTCTACCGTTCGGTAGTTATGACAATTTTGATTTTATAGAAAAAATTACACAGAAAAAATCAATTATTTGAATTTTCGAATTTCTTGATTTTGGAGATCATCCGTTCGCTAGATATGATATGTTTGAAATTTTCGAATAGATTACACACAAAAAAAAGTGTTTGTATTTTAGAATTTTTTGATTTCGGAGCTGTGTTTTACGAAAAAAATGAATGCTGACAGACAAATCCTTCGTTCCCTAGATATGACAATTTTGAATTCATCGAAAAAATTACACACCCAAAATTTTTTTTGTGTATTCGAATTTGATGATTTTGAAGCTGTATTTTATGAGAAAAATGAATGTTGACAGACAAACTCGAGCCGAATCGGATCATCGGTTCGCTTCATATGAAAATTTTGAAATTTTCGAAAGAATTCCACAGAAAAAATCTATTCTTTGGATTTCCGAGTTTTTTGATCTTGGAGCTATCTAATGAAAAAAATTGATGCTGACAGATGATCCAGATCCGAATCGGATCATCTCTCTGCCTAATATAACAATTTTGAAATTATCGAAATGATTACACAGAAAAATTAGATATTTTCGATTTTCAAATTTTTTTCGGAGCTGTATTTTATGAGAAGAATGAATGTTGGCAGACAAACATCAGCCGAAACGGATCGTCAGTTCGCTAGATATGACAATAATGAAATATTCGTGAGAATTACACAGAAATTTTTTTTTTTCGATTTTTGGATTGTTTGATTCTGGGAACTGAATTTTATGAGAAAAATGAATGCTGACAGAAAAACCCTAGCAAAAGTTCAGATTAATACTAACCTCTACAGCAAGTTCTGATTATTGGGCAAATGATTGATGAATTCTGAAGTACCTATAGTATTTGAGTAATAGATAGGTGGAAACATTCAGGATATATATAAATTCTACGGGCCAAGATCCAGATTCCAAGCCAATTTTCAGAAAAACTTTTTGATGTATCTGTTCTTGAAGAGAAGCTACTTCTTTCGACAAATTTCAAAATATTGAACAATATTAGTGGGCCAAGGAAAACTCTTATAAAAAAAAGAATACTGCATACATAAGTACGTCGAAAATTCTAGGATTCTGATATTTTCAGACACCCACTTTTATTATCCAGAATATATGAGCTGCCTTCAATGAATGAACACAATTTTGTATGTAGCGCTAGCGTTAGCCTCAGACGTAATAATGAGGTTCTGTATTTTTTTTAATCAAAAATATATCTTTGTATGCAACTTTGACTGAAGCACGGATATTATTCAAACACCCGGTACCCGGTGGACTCAAAGGTCCCATTGAATTTAATCAACTCGAAGGTTATCCGTGAATGCAAATTAATAATACGAGATTCCGTCCAAGTTTCCCAGGGGAAAACCCTAAAGTGCCGTCCGGGATAACATGTGGATGTAAATTTATACAGGGTGAACAGTTGAAAGCTCGCGCCTTTAAATATGAACGAGAGAAAAATTAAGAGGAAGGTAAAATGCAATTGTTGGGAAATTGAATATAACCGGAGAGAAATATAGAAGGTGGTTTTCTCAACCTATGAAGGTTATAAGTTTTTGGAAAAATATATCCGTGATTCTCTCAACGTAGGAGACTGAATGGGGAATGTTTATCATAATTCTGTGATTTTCACTAGACTTACTGCCCTTACTGGATGGGAATGATAGCATGAAAAACGCAAAAACCTGGCCGAAATCATATCCTAACCTGATACACGTTTTTTGCTCGAAGGCTGCTTCTCGATGTATGTTGCAAAATCGCAAATTTCAATTCTATTATGAATACTTTTATGAGGCAACAATCTTACCAATGTTCTCAGATTAAATAGGTACATGACAAACTTTGCTTGATATCAGGATTTGAAACCGATACAAATAACGGGTTTGAGCAAGGTCCAAGGATGTTTCTATACACAGTATGGACTATGGAGTGAATAAGAGGAATAAATCAACAATTGTGTATATCAGCGATTTTAGTGAAAAAGCACGAATTTTGTGTGAGCGTGATGCCATCAATGTTTGTTTTTGAATAGTGACAACTCTTTCAAAAGCTCTTTCATCTCTATATCCAACCATATGAAAAGGTTTGGATTCATACCACAAAATATCGATTAATTCAAAGAACTTCCACGTATCGAGAAAGCATAGAAAGTCCGGGAGTTATATAGGAAATATTCAAATGATTCACTTTCGTCTTTTGTCATAGCTACGGTTCATCAATTCGAGCATTTCCCTTAAAATAGGTTGTTCAAATTTGAAGCAAACCCTTGAATTGACGACCTCAGTTAAGTTGATACATACAATAAATCTGAGAGCATCAGCGGATGTTCGGCAACAATATTTCATATTCAATTCACAGTTTTATATCGAGAATGAATGCTCTGAGAAGAGATGTTTTCCATTTGTTTGGTATTCCTGATAAGCGCGAGAGTGTAGACTAGTTGAACAAACATTGATGGAGAACCTCGTGCTGAAGGTGAATCGTGAATCGATTTCGAGTTTTTCAATTCCTTTCTTCAAGATTATTCATCACGCCTATTCATATACATTTATGCTGAAATAGGATAGTCAGAAATTCTGATTCGAAATTCGAGTGTCACAATTATTTGCGACTGCGAATATTTCACGATTTTTGCTCTCATCCTCTTGAATGATAGCCATCATTATACGTTAATTGACATACTGATATTCAATTTTATTTAAATACAAATTAATTTCTTTCCATTGAAATCACCCTCATCATGTATAATGTATGTCATGAATAAAGGAAACATTGCTTCTAAACTCAATCGATTCTATAATTTAACAGTACGGGTATTTTAACATGTTTCTCTTATATTTTCTTAGGAATTCGGAGACTCAATATAAAATATATTGACTTCGTCGATAGATCTTTGTTTACTCTACTCGTTCACTCAGACATTCGGAAATGCCAAAATGGCCTATCTTTTATTTCTTGTTCGACTTCTGGTGATGGTTCCCTATATGCCTGATGTTTTAATAACAGATATGACTGTGTATCGATAAAAATGGCCAATCTGGAATTTTCAATAATTCAAAAATGATTACGAATATCAATATGGATGTTGAGATAAATGATTTGCGTGTTTCGATTTCACACCAAATGGCCTCAAAATATATGGGGTGTTCCATTTGAAAAACTCGAGAAAAATCACTTCCAAAAGTTCCGAATTGAAAAACCAGTTTTAGCAACCCTGTATAATTTGAAGGCATGAAAATTCTACAGAAATATCACGCATCTTTCTATCAAATGATTTTATGATTATTATCTCTTAAACTTCATAATTGTGATTAGAGTGATTTTTGCGGTATGGATCTACAGATGACTTTATTTTGACAAACAATAACTTCGAAATGATCGAGAAATAGTCAACGATATTGAAGGAGTGGATGGAGGTCATAGGAATGCTTCAAAAAATGTGCTAATAATAGGGCATTCCATTTAAAAAAAGTGATGCTGACCCTCTAGATTTTTTCCTACGCCCCTTGTATATGCGGCAATAATTTCTAGTTACGGACCTTTGTCTCATTGACATTAGTTTTCGAATCAAGTTTCTAGCTATCATAGAACTCGAGCAATCGAGGTCCGACGCACTAAATGCCCCACCCTGTATATACATACATACAGTGTGACCCACTTCTGTATCTTATGTAACCGTTGGGTAAGGATCTTGAAATTTGCTGGAGCGAGAGATATATAAAAGCGATACTCTATGATCAACTGGCGTCGTCTTCAGCGATATACACTGCTCGCCAACAGTCATGGAAATACCCCAATTTCCAGGAAATGATATTAGGAGTCAAAATAGGTATAAAAATCACTTCTAATTCAGAATCAAGACACCCAATTCAATAACTATTCATATTTTTCCTGGAAAATTTTCGGTTCTGAAAAATTAAATTTTGTCGCATTTTTTACGGAAGCACCCCCGTATCTTTTGAAATTGACTTCATCTCTGGACTTTCCCTTCCTCCTGCGAATTTCAGAACCCTACCTCAATAATTACGTGAGATACGGGGGGGCTTCCATGAGAAGTGAGACAAAATTTGATTTTTCTGAACTGAACATTCTCTAGGAAAACGATGAATAGGGAGTGAATTGGGTGTTCTGATTCCGAATCCGAAGTGATTCTCAATCTATTTCGACTCCTAATATCATTTTGAGGAAATTGGGGTGGTTCCATGACTGTTGGCGAGCAGTGTATATCACTGAAGATGACCTCACTAGGTCATAGAGTGCATTCTTGGTATATCTCCCGCTCCAGCAAATTTCAGGATACTTACCTAACGATTACGAGATACAGGGGTGTTTCCATTAGAAATGGGTCACACTGTATACATCCATGATCAAATTCAGATGATGTAATATAAATATTCGTATAACTACCAAGTACCAACTCACCCTATGATGAAAATAGACTGGTGCAACCACTTGTCAATTGTTTCTTTCCAAAACGTGTAGACCGCGAAACACCGTAGCAAGGCCGCACCGGATTGACTGTAGATGGCGTAGGGAACATCATGCCACATATACTTCACAGATATAATGAAAATTTCACGTCTTTTTCATTAAATCAATCACTTTTTCTCAATGTTTTTGAATTACGAATTAATATACGTAAATGTAAACAACAAAACAAAACAACCATTGTGTAGCAAGATCACTTCGGGAACAGCGCCATCTAGCGTTAGTTTTGCGCGGCCTTACTACGGTGATAGAATTCGACATAATCAAGTAGGCCAGAGGTCTACAAAAATTTCTAGGGTTTTGTAAGAGGGAGCTATTTCACCATACATATATCCACCTTTAACTCACCCTATGATCTTTCGGCCTCGTCTCCTGCCGCCTCGGCTTGCCCCCCTCCGAGTCGGCGTACACCAGGTTCCGGATCGATCCGACGAACTTCGGCTCGAAGATGACGCTCGGCAGCGCGAGCAGCGTCAGCTTGGCGTTGTACCACGCCGGCATGCCGCCCACGAACACGTCCGAGTTGGTGGCGAAGCGGCCGAAGCGGAACTCTTTGCCGCGCGACGTGCGCATCTGCGACAAGCCGTCCACCGTGAGGACGGTCCTGTCCTCGTGACGTCTCACGTGCACCTCGAAAATACAAGAAAGAAATTTTCTGATGATTCAGGTTCTCTTATTTCTGTGGTCATTGACGATCTGAATGAAGAAGCTAGTTTGATAGTTAGTTGGTGTTGCTGATTGTTATTTTCATTAAGCAACACGCTGTATTCGTGATGAGTGAGCTGTGTTTTCAATTTCGAATCCAGACTTTGACAATAAATAAGAATATTTCTTCTGTGACGGGAAGGAAGTTTGGCATTTCATCTCTGTTGGCAGGTTATAAAGTGTCACTTTTCATAAATTACTTCTTTCCCGTGGGAAACTTCACTTACACTGGTATGGACTATTTTGGTCCTCTTACTGTAACTGTTGGTCGACATCACAAAAAAAGATATGGTGTCTTATTTACATGCTTAACAGTTAGGGTAGTCCATTTGGAATTAGCAAATTCACTAACTACAGATAGCGCAATTATGGCGATTCGACGATTTGTGGCAAGAAGAGGATGCCCAACAGATAATAGCACCAATTTGGTAGGAGCTGAGAAAGAATTTAAAAATGCTTTGAAAGAACTCTGTGAAGAGGAAAATTCATTTATATTGAATTTCCAAAAATTTGAAATATTAGTGTTAATTCAATACCTATAGGTATATGAGTAGGTGAGGACAATAAATGTTGTGGAGATGACTCTAGGTTTCCTCATCTATGAACTATACCTTTCCACTTTGAGTTACCATGGACTTCTTCCAAAGATTAATAGCTCATTTGTTTCAATGTCAGTGACACTGTTTCAGGTTGAATTCGTCTTCTATTTTTTCCGAAATAGTACTCAACCATCGACCACAGATATTGATGAAAGAGAAGAATATTCCTGTGATGATTGGTACCGGACAGTTTTGACGTCTGGTTTCTTTGATTTATCTTTCTCAAAATCCTTTAGAATTGCGATTGAATCTTTCATTAATTATGTCTCCGAATGTTGCTTGTTTTCTATTAATCAGTTGGTTTGTATTTGTTGTTGTTGTTGTTGTTGTTGTTGTTGTTGTTGTTGTTGTGCATGTGAGCATGATTATTTATCAAGGATCGAAACACAAAGTGGTCTCCACAATTTTCAATGGTGATCAAATTACTCAATCAGATCATCGTACATGTTTCGAGCCCAATACTTTGAATTTGGGTTACTCACATGGAAAAGAAAAAGAAAAATTTGCAATTAAATGTCTACATGGCTATGTGAATAAATTATTCGATGAATTATAAGAATATTACGAATGTTGAGTGATCTCCTACTGTATTGACATGACGATTTCGGTGTTTCCATCAATAAAAAGAATTGCCATCTATAGACATTCTCTGAATATCGAGTTTCAATCCCACGAAGGCAAGGATATCAATTATCATTTTACAAGATAACTGTTTTTGATAGTTAAAATATCGCAAGTATCAAGTTTGCATCAGCAGGAGAAATATTGGGATCACTCTAATATCACAGAAGAATGTGAGCATAAAAGTAATATACAGGGTGTTGACAAATGAGTTGTATATTCCTTTTGAAAAAAAAACCTTTCATTCGTTTCCGAAATTGTTCTCTGGAATTTCGTTCTCAAGATACAGGGCGTCAAAAAAGAATCAGTTTGTTGAAACACACCTCACCACACTCAATAAACTCAACAATTTGAAAACCAGCACTAAAAAACCTGATATTTATTCGAACCTGACAGTCCTGAGGGAACTTATTTCAAGTGCTTTTCAGACGACTCTTAAAGATACCAGGATTTTGCATGTTCACTTCAGCGCATTGAAGCAGGAGGACCTTTTTTGTGTGGAAAATAATGGCGTTTCAGAATGTGCTTCAAAAATTACAAATACTCAAGTGGCATAAAACTTTGGGGGGTTACCCCCCTACGAGACGTTGAACTTTAGAGCCTCAAGAGTATCCATTTTATTAACGATGAAGTCTGTACGAGGCTCAGCTCCGTAGCTCAAACGGAACCTGAGATGAGGAAACGGAAGCCTGGAGAAAAATTTCGAATAAGAAGAAAATGTCTCTTTCTCATTAGGAATCTACAGTTTTCCGTTGCGATAGTTATCCGTTGATGCAGTGTGAATATACTAAAATTCACCTATGTTGTAGTGATGTCAGTATGTTTATTTCGGTTGTATGTTGATTTCTTTGAATACCTTGTGCCAGTGTCCATCGTTGAGATCTCTGCCGACGGTGATGATCTGCGCCCCACCACCAAGGTTATACCTCAGCCTCAAAGCTCCCTCTACCAGCTTTATCTCGAAAAAGTCGTAAGTCCCGCCGTCGTCCGTGTACAAGAGCAGCCCGTTGGGCTGCTCCGTCTTAAACTCGAACTCGAGGCTACCGTTAGCCCCCCCTCCCCACTTCCTGAACTGCGAAAAAGAGTTAGCGGAACCGTCCAATAGGAACCCGTAAGAACACGCGCAAAGGAACGAGATCACTGTCAGTTGACGCATCATTTTCGCGGAGCGGCTTACGCGCATTGCAATCTGTCTTTGGTTTTCGAAATGCAAGGATTGTCAGACGCGGTATAGTACATGGTTCCGGGCGGGTACGATTACGATATGTAGATGTGGAATGGCGGACGACTTCTTTGCTGCAAGTGTCTTGTGCGTTAGAATTACCCTTCTTGATATGAGCTGAAATAGAAAAAAAAAAGAATTACAAGTCCATCCATAACCGCGAAATACAAGATTATCTACATCGAAGTGTTCCTGATGAAGACTGTGTTACTGGAGATCTTGAGGACCAGCAGTTACAGTGTATAATCAACGACGAAATAGCCACAATGCTCAAAGTGGGATGAAATATTGAATTTCGCGAGGAAAATAACTAGCCAGGAAGGCTAATGCTACGCAGAACATTGAATTACATCCTCATGAAATCTATGCATGGACTCGTATAAACGAATACTGATACGAGTGATTCTTTCCCCAGCACCTATTAATCTCGATTCAACCAGGCCACGTTAGACACCTACAGATCGGTTTTGAGCTCTCTGACTCTCATCAGGGCAGGACAGTTTGTAGCCAGCAATCCTTGGACCACCGATTAAGCGTAGCCTAACAAAAATTAAGTCGGCATTATATTCCTTCAGAGACGTCGTCCATAGACAATATGAGAGCAACGCCATCTGAGTAGAAGAGGAGAGAAACACTGAAAAACCAAAAGCGAATAGTGGAGTAGGTACAGATAATTTGGCGTATTGAAAAACGGTACAAACAGAGTGTAATCGGTAGATTTAAAACATAATATAAATGAAAATTAGTCAGCAGGACTAAAAAAGACTGAAAATACAAGAAATTGAAATAACATACCACGACACTATGGATAAATAACAGACGAACTTTCAGTAAATGTTCATGTACCTAAATGAATGGAATCTCAATCTATTCCTGATTTGAGTAAAAAGATTATTCAGGAAGGATCTTCTTGATTATGTCTTCATAACTGGAGCTATTCAAAGCTCCAATGTGTTTTGAACGCAAAACATTGCTGTATCGTCGTCATAATAAACATAGATATAAATGGATAATAATGCCGTTGATGTATATTAGAAATAGAATGGGACCGATAATTGAAAAATGTTTTAGGATTAACTAATATTGTTAGTATGTTCGAATTACAGTAGAAATTGATATAGATTCAGAAACCTTCTATAAACATTATGTTTCAAATAAATAGGATTTCAGTGGATACTGAAATACGTATCAATCTGAAAAACTCATTTTCTCAGGAAAAGTGCTGATGCCTGAAGCTGACTTCGATAATAAATGATTAAACTGCTCTCAATTGAATTTCCAGCATCTCGATAATGTTCACAGCTGTCATCAATTCACAATAACTAAATGAATCGAGAGTTGCAGATGGCATGGAACGAAATGTTTCTTCGACAATGAAGGAAATCACTTTAGCTTCAGGAAATATCTCTTTTTTCGTGTCCCTCAATCGCTAAACTAGGTTTATCTTCCTTGAAACAGAGCAACAGTAGCACAATTACAAAACGAACTGATGGAAATAACATTTTATGTAATTAGATGCTTCCTCGGATACTTCGATAGGTCATAGATAGAAAAAAGCTGATAATAATTGTGAAATATCATATGATCATTTACATCATGTATTGAATGAGGTTGGCCTTTATTCTGACAGTTGTAGGAAAAATATTGTATGTAACATGTGCGTAAAGTGTTTTTTACTCATAGGAATTGCCTCACTCCGCCTTCGGCGTCATGCGTCAACATTTCCTGCTCGTAAAAAAAGTACCACTTTACAACTTTGTTACATATGTAACTATTATCGTTGTGTCCTTCTCAGACCAAGTACTTAGTCAATCCAAACAGAGGATTTGTTCTCTTTGGAATCCTGAAATTACAGCCAGTGGCTGTCGGTATACTATCTACATTATTCGCTATAATATTGTCTGAAGTAAAATACAATGGTACAATCTTCAACTCATTATCCATCATCATTAGGTAGATGGAAAGGGTGATAATATCAACATGCAAAACTAGTCACCAAAGGGATTCCATTTTTCTCAATATTTTCATAAGTGGACCTAGATGCAGCCAATGATGACTTCTCAGACGCTTTCAAAGCTACATTCATATGATATTTGAGGGGTCCATTCCTCAATTTGGACAGACAAATTTTCATGGAAGCGAGGTCGAATGTCAACGCGCAGAAAATTTATTTGCTGTGGTGTATACGTTCTGTTTAGAGAGGGAATTTAATATAAACTAGATGTCTTTCGCAGTGGACTGAGACAAATATACACCGAAATCTATGTGTTATGTTCTTCAGATGAATCAGACATAAAATAATAATTATTAATCGAAGGTTATTTTATATGATTATTATAATTATAATATTTATAATGTAATATTCATATTTATGGTGTAGTATAATGACATGTATGTACTGAACTAAATATGCGCTGGCAAGATATTCCCACTCAAACAGCAGAACAACCAGAGAAGGAAAACTCACAGTGTGATCATATCTGGCTGAGCTTTCTTATTCAAACATAAATATCAGCAAAACAATCTCACGTATTAAGGAAAGAACCAACCAGCACGAATTACCCTGAAACAACTTGAACCATGCAATTCACGGCCGTATAAGTAGTAGGGGAAATGAAATAAACTTTGTTCCATTTTTGTATTGAACAACAGAGCACTTGAATTTCAGAAAGAAAAGAAGGCTAAATCTTCATTCTCCTTCTTGATTGTTTCGCTGCTTCTATGATTTTTATATTACAACACTTGTGCTTATATATCTAGCAAGATATTCCCTCTCAAACAGCAAAACAACCACCAAACGATCTCATACTTCTCATAGACTTACAGCACTAAAGCCAAAAAGACAACAATCTTCATCCGTAGAGGAAGTGAACTTACAGTGTGATCATATCTGGCTGGGCTTTCTTATTTGAACATGAATATCAACAAAAACAATCTCATGTATTAAGGAAAGAACCAACAAGCCCAAATCACCCTAAACAACTTGAACCATGCAATTTACGACGTATAGGTAGTAGGAAAATGAAAATAAACTTTGTTCCATTTTCGTATTGGACACCAGAGCATTTGAGTTTCAGAAAGAGAAGGAGGCTAAATCTTAATTATTTTTCTTGATTGTTCCGCTGCTTCTATGATTTTCATATTGCAAAATTTGTGCTCATATCTAGCAAGGTATTCGCACTCAAACAGCAAAAATCACCAAACGACCACACAGACTTATATTCCCACTCAAACAGTATAACAACCACCAAACGACCTCACAGACTTCCGATACACAATCCAGCACTGAAACCACCAAAACTACATACTCAGACGTGGAAAACTCACCGTTTTCTCGACGCCTACAGAATTTCCACCGTCGCCATGGATTTCCACCGAGCACCACCAAAGGAACAAGCGAACGCAGCGGTCGATCGCGCCCCGAAAGCGCTAGGGTGTTCGAGCATCTAGCCGCCCTTTCCGCCCTTCGGTGCTCTGGCGTAGCGTCGCGACGCTTTGGGCCTGCGCGACGCCGACGCCATTCGGTTAGGCGGGACAGGCGCGCATGAGAAAGGCTCGTTTGGTGATCTTTGATCGAGAAAGGAGGATTTCTGTTCCGGTTGATGATAAGTCTCAGATTTGCCTATAATAATAATTAACGTAGCAACCACGAAAATACTGTTTTTTCTGTGACGGGGAAAAAGTTTGGCATTCCATCTCTGTTGGCAGGTTATAAAATGTCACTTTCCATAAATTACTTTTTTCTCGTGGAAAAAAAGTGAGTACTTTTTTCCCGGATATAAATCACATATATATACACTGTCAATGGCTTTTGTTGTTCTATAGTTCCGAAAAATGAGTAAATAATATCGTCTCCGAACAACCACTGAATTCACACTTTTTTGAAATCAAATCACAGAATTAGACTGACAGAAGTGACATCAGATATTTGATTACTTCAAAAGAATGATAAAGATGCAGGTGTCCCTACTGTTGATTGATTCGTCCTTCCTTCTGTCACAGAAAAAAATAGTGTATTATACACGGGAAGAATATTAGATTTTTGCTCACGGTTTCTTGTCACACAATCTCGATCTGAAATTTATCACTTCTTCCCTCGAATACCTAACTATTTTTTGGACGAGTACATTCTAGGCCGACCCGTAGAGATTCTAGAATCTTCTCAACGAAGATTTGAGAGAATTGAGAAATTGAGAAGTGAAGAATAATAATTATAATTGTATCTGTGTCCGAGATAATGAGGGCCAGTATGGGTACCTTGGAAAGTACAAGAGACAAACTCATTATATTATATTTCGTTTTTGAATAATTTCCGAAACACTGCCCTTTTCTCCTTTCGGTGCTCTGGTGTAGCGTCGCGACGCTCTGGGCATGCGCGACGCCATTCGTTTCGGCGGGCAAGGCGCGCATGAGGGAGGCTAATATATGGTGATCTTTCGTCGAGAAGGGGACAATCTGTTCCGGTTAATAATAATGATAAGTGAATAAGCAAAATAAATTTGGAAGGAATGAGAAAATGCTTCTGCAATTATATTTCAATTTTGTTAGATCGAATTCATAGTAGGCATCAATTGTTTGGCACCTCATCATCAGGTGCAGCTGCATTAAAAAAAAGCTTTCAAGTAATTGCGTAAAACGGGCTATCGGGAATGATTGTTTACCAAATGTTGGCAGTTGTCATAGGTTGTCAAAAATGCAAACCATTGGCTGAGTCAGCTTCACACAACTAGAATTAGGATGACGTGTACATCTTTTTTTAATACTTGTACGCTTTTTCAATGAATATTACTGTACATATTTGAATTGATTTAGAAAATATCCAACGAAAATTCTTGAAGTATCTGTATGTTTCAAACTTGAAAGCAACTACCCAGATGTAAGTCATCCACATGCACAACTTCTTTCAAGAAATAAGTTGATTCACTTGTAGATCGTCGAAATAGGTCATATATTCCTTTTTTATGTTATCCACAACAATTTGAACTGCAGCCACATTATGGAGAAAAAATACTTTCTACTTTCCACTTTGTCACATTGATGTTCAATTTTATGCACCTGTTTACAAGATGTGTTCTATATACAGAGTGGGCCTTTGAAAACGAAACAGAGGATCTGTAGGTCGCCAAAACCTTCTTATGGAAAAAATCTGAAACACGTCAACTACATTTTCGAGGGGGACATCGTTGTAAAATATTTTCAGCTCTGCGGCGTTGCCGCTTTTAACGAAAAGAAGCAACAACTTTGTTATTTCAAATGGAATACCTTGTATTTCATTGCATCTTCAGATTCTCCCTGAAGAGCTGATTTCATCAATGCATCAAACTTGGGGTCTAGCTGTAAAGGTTTCAGGGATATAAAGTGTTCAAAATCGGGATTTTTCAACTTGAGCATTTTTTTGTGTCAAAACTATTCATTATTGGTCAAAACGGCCTTCATGTCCCTATCTCAACCTGTGATTTACTATCTACTAACATTTAATTGGAACAGATACAGGGTGATCAGAATACTGAATCTTGAACCACCCTGTATTTGTTTCAAATAAATGTCAGTAGATAGTAAATCACAAGTTGAGATAGGGACATGAAGGCCGTTTTGACCAATAATGAATAGTTTCGACACAAAAAAATGCTAAAGTTGAAAAATCTCGATTTTGAACACTTTATATCCCTGAAACCTTCACAGCTAGACCCCAAGTGTGATGCATTGATGAAATCAGCTCTTTGAGGAGAATCTGAAAATGCAATAAAATACAAAGTGTTCCATTTGAAATAACAAAGTTGTTGCTTCTTTTCGTTAGAAGCGGCAACGCCGCAGAGCTGAAAATACTTTACAACGATGTCCCCCTCGAAAATGTAGTTGACGTGTTTCAGATTTTTTTCATAATCCGGTTTTGGCGACCTACAGAGCCTCTGTTTCGTTTTCAAAGGCCCACTCTGTACATATAATACGCTCAATGAAAATATTGGAATTTTCTGCTGCAGTTTGGTTTCCATGAAAAAAACTGAACAGTTTTGTTTTTTCCAATGGGATGTTTATGTATTGAGGAATTAATTTCAGTAATCTATATAGTATATTTCTATTATGTAATTGGATTTGCATCTGTTGAATTTTGTAATTGAAAGAAGTCTTGTAACAATACGCAGATCCGCCCAAAGTAAGTATTTCGTATTGTCATGCCCAAGAAATGGTTTATCGGTTTTCAATTGAAGGGAATATGAGAGAAAATTAAAAAACATCAAATAGTCAAATGAAACCAAACATTGTATCTCTCGAACTAAAACTTTAAGCTTTTTGTAATTATTCTCTCAAACTAACCTAACCTAACCTCACTTAACCGTACCTAACCTGCCTCAGTAAGGACGAAAGAAGATAGTTATTCAATATAAATCCTTACCGAAAATGCACAAAATATTTAGGGATTCAATTATATCAAACCATATACATTTCATATACATATATTTTTTATCTTTTCGAGCGCACGAAACGGCATCCCCATTATGGTCGAAGGATAACATTGTTTCCTGTTCAGTTCATATGAATAGAAAATGGTTTTCACTCCTGAAATACAAGTATGAAAATGATTCAAAATCAATTAGAAAAACCCTGTATATACCTCACACAATTTTCTAACACCTGTCACTGAGCCAGATTCGCTCACAAAATGCTCAAAGGTAAGTAACATTATGCATCTTTCCAATCATTGAATCAATAGTAATATTTTTCTTTAGGGACACGGAGATAGAAATATCCATGAGATCTAGAGGAATTTATGTTATTATTTCATCATCAGATATTTAATTTCTCCTCGAATTATTATTGTCACATTAATCTGAGTCTAATTGCGAGATAAATCTTGCAATTAGCTAAATTGATACACGCCCCTACATCCCTTTCAATGCAAATTGGCGGCGACAATAGTATGAATATGATACATCGTTCAAATTTGATACCAAATTAATATTAGCTGGGGGGTCAAAATTCTAAGAAACACAACATGATTCGAATTATTCATTGATTCATCATACTATCCGGTATAGATTAATATTTTACCCTATCAAATTTTTCAAAAAAATATACCATGCAAATTTTTATCGAACTTTCAATTACATTTATTTCATCAATTATTAGAACCTTTCATTTAACTTCAAATGTATGTACGTATGTTTGTTCGGTTGGAATCTTTGAACTAAATTTTGAAGTAGATATCTTCAACCGATTGAGCTGAAATTTTGTATACACATTTAGTTTGAATGACATGGCACGAGAAGGTGTGTGACGTTATTTTAAATCCAATATGGTGGACCATCCAAGATGGCCGAATATTCATTTTCATTGCACTTCTACAATATGGTTATCAAATAAAATGACTCGTTGAGAGCAACTCGAAAAATGATATGACGTCATTCTGAATCCAATATGGCGGATCATCCTTCATGGCAGGATAGTTATTTTCAATAAACTTCTACAATATGATGGGTATCAAATGAAAAGGCTTGTTAAAAGTAACTCGAGAAATAATGTGACGTCATTCTGAATCCAATATGGCGGACCATCGAAGATTACGAAATAGGTATTTTCAATCTACTTCTACAATATGGGTATCAAATGAAAGGCCTCGTTGAGAGCAACTTGAAAAATAATGTGACGTCATTCTGAATCTAATATGGCGGACCATCCATGAGTACGAAATAGGTATTTCCAATCTACTTCTACAATATGGGTATCAAATGAAAGGCCTCGTTGAGAGCAACTCGAAAAATAATGTGACGTCATTCTGAATCTAATATGGCGCACTATTGAAGTTTTTTGTGCTCTCATGCGATAAACACGCAGGTTTGAAAAAAACGGTTTTCAAGACAATAACATCGATTGATTAACTTTGTCTTGGGTAGTTTGACGAGGAGGAGGAGGACAACTCCAACATCAGAGCCGGATCTGTGTTTCGTCAGGCAGAAAGCCAGCGATAACTAGGAATTGAAAAACAAATGAAAAATGAAAAAAGGAGACTTGAAAAAGCAGCTATTATTTAAACGCTCTAAAAAGAAGTTTTCTGTTTGATTTTTACCATCAACTTATTACCTCATTATACACAATTCATATGAACAATAGAGTTTGTCACGATAATCAATATTCGAAATTAAAACTTAGCAGATTCCACATGATTAAATTAAAAATTCAAAAAGGGAATTGTATTATCTTCTTTGTATAGCGTTTGAATTAAAGCTTTTTTTGAAGTTCTTTCTAACTTTTAATTTTTTGATAACCATTCTTTCACTTGATGAGGGCAATTCTCGAAAACGTTTGATTATCAGCTTTCCAGGAATTCAGTTTGCGGAGCTAGACTTGGTCGTCAATATACCTACATCAAACA